GTGTATTATTTGTTGAAACTGTACTTCCAATTTGATTTGAAACTGTCTCATTGCTATCTGTTTATCAATAAAACTTTGAAAAAAATAAATAATAAGGATGAAAAAAAAAGATACACAGCGCAAATCCAGTGTATTTCAGTGAAATCGAAGGTCATGGTAACAAAATACCAATCTCTGTAAATACTGACCTGCTCTTCTCTTGAGCCAGTAGCCAAGTAGCAGGGCCATAAAAATGATGGAACCAAAGCTGCCTAGCAGCCCTTCTATGCTTCCTGAAGTAAGATGATAGCTTCTGTTCCCATCAGGCACTGAGGGGAGAGACCTGTGTGTGAGTTTTGAGGGAGAGATTGGGGTCTGAGAGCAGACATCCTGGGTCTGGGCTGTGCCCAGAGTGTGCTTTCTTGGGAGAGATTTACAACACATTTTTGCTTGTACCTGGGAATAATTCTTTATCAAGAATTCAAATTATGGATTCAAACTCAATGACTATACAAAATACCAAAATAAGACAAGCAAGAATAACAGCAGGACTACCCATTACCAAACCTAATAAAGTGCCAAAAAAGTGGCTTCTAGTCCTAGAATTATTTTATAATATAATAATGAGAAAGAAAAGAATATATATATATATATATATAATGAGAAAATTATAGCTTGAATGAAGGTCTTGATAACAAATCTTGCTACATTCTGAATTCATTCAAATCAGGATTCAACAACACTATGTCTTATATTTGAAATTATGAATAATGAGTATTTGGAAAGGTACTTTGACAGATAGAAAGTAATAGAAGAAGTGGGTGGACAATTTTCTGTTTAGCTCAGAGCATTTACCGTAATGCAGGGATTTACTTATACAGCTAAGGACTTATAGCTTCATCACATTGGTGATGGAGACAGGTACTGAGCGCCCCAATCCTCTATGCCCCTCACATGTACAGCCCATGACAGCACCATATATAGAAGCCCATCTTTGGTTGCATCAAAGATTCAGAGAGCTTCTTGCAAGAAGCTGGGAAGAGACCAAGACAGTCCCACATAGCTTGAGCTATACCTGTGACATTGAGTGTTACAACTTCACTGCGCTGGGCACTCTGGCCATTGTCAGCCTCACAGAAGTAGTTTCCAGAATGTTCTGAAGTTAAGGAGAGGTTGAAAGACACCCCTCCTCCAGAGGGGGCTGAGCTGTTCCTCAGGATGGCATCCTCATGGTAAAGCTGGTACAGGATCGGGGGAGAACCTCTCAGGGCCTCACAGTGAAGCTCCACCATATCCCCCACCACAGGCTGGGCCCTGGGGGCCCTAAGGGTAAGGACAGGATGGGACACTGGACCTGGGAAAACAGTGGGCTATCAGAAAGGTGTCTCTGAGGATACAGTAGACCCACAGTCCTTGCTTGCCCTCAGAACTTCCTCCAGGTAGCCTTGTGCAAAGTGGAAGTGCTGCCCATGCTGGGGGCAGTGGAACTTACTTCTGATGGTGATGCTGATCAACCCACTGAGGATGGGGCCATGGCCATTGTCTGCTGCACAGTAGTATTGTTCAGCATCCCTCTGCTGCACCGAAGTGATCTCAAATTCTGCTCTCAGTGAACGCTCGGTCTTTGTTTCAAGGTTTAGACCCAGAGCACCTCTGTACCAGGAAAAGGTGATATCTCCAGTGCCACTAGCAACTGAACAAATTAGGACTAGCTTGTCTCCCTCCATCACCCATCTTCCTGGGGGCTGGCTCTCCAAGCTCACATCGGAGACATGGACTCCTGGAGGAACACAAGATCATGTGGGCTTCCTCTGAATAAGGAAAGTTTTAAGGACAAGGAGGAAGTATGATGTCCCGAAGGCGAAGGCTGCTCAAAAGTCAATGATTTTTATAACCTAAGTTGGGAGGGGGCTCTGCTGAGTTAGAATCAGGTTTGGTATGACTGCTGAGCACAGGATAAGAAAGGCACATCATAATAGCACAGAGAATACAGCATCACCCTTTTCCTTAGACAACATGACTCCCATTCCCCTGACTCTCAAACTTCCCATTTCAAGCATAATACTACAATGGTTTAGGTCTAAATTGGAAACCAAAGTGCCTGAGTATGAATATCGATTCCAACTCATACTTGATGTGTATGTTTCATCAAGTTACTTCTCTGAGGCTCAATTTCCCACCTATAAATGAAGTTAATTATAATTGTCTCTCACAATCAAGGGGCTCACTGAAACACATTTGTGACACACTCAGTGGCTCTTGGTGTGTATGAGCTGCTCAAGGTGTTTGCACTGGTGGACAGGGGTTTGGTTTCACCTGTGTTGAGTGTTTGGCAAATTTGAGATTGTCCAGTCTTCTGAGATTATCAAGCATTGGATCTTTATAGGAGATATCTAAAGTGTCAGCTTTGTCATGAAATAAGATAGTTCAAAATAATAAAGCATTCTTTCAAAATCAAGCCCATTCCATAAATGCTTCTCCAATACTTTGTTCCATACACTTCCTCAACAAAGCCATTCTTGCAAAGCTGAGCTTAAATCTGGGATCCCCGTCTCTAGATCTATTATTCAGGAAGGGCAGTAGATGTCGTGTTTTACTCTCCTCTCTCCAACTCCGACTCTGGAAAACAGCCCCTTGGATACTGATACTCACTCTGCACTTGTATCTGAGATGTCACACTCGTTTTTGTGATCCCAAGAGTCACCATCTCTACCTGGCACCAGTAGGACCCCGAGTCTTTGCTCCACACATTTGGGATCCACAGCTCTGGGGAGGTCCTGCAGCCTGACCCCAACATTTGGTCATCTCTGAAGAAGCAGAACTGTTTCTGGACATCTCGCTTCTGTGGAGGGAGCTGTATCTCACAGGTCAGGGTCATTGAGCTTCCCTCCAAGGGCTGGGAAGAGCTGATTCTCAGTACAGGACGTGGAAGTAGCTCTAGAGGAGATTGAACACAAAGTCAGTGAGGTTGAAAGTTTATGATGATAGGCATTTTGTATTTCCTGGTAGCTGGACACACCAAATACCACATGGTCCTTGGGTATCCCTTTGCTGTAAGCCTGCTCGTCCTGGTATGTCCTGTCTCTAGGCAGCAGCATTGACTTTAAGAGGCAACCCTTGCCTGGGACTTGCTCTTATTAAATAGTTTGACATTTCTATCCTTGAGAAAAAAAAAATCCCCTTTCTCAAAGCCAGTACAGGGATGTCAAAGGAGGCCAATAGAATCACATTAGAGATGGTGAAGCTTAAAATGTTATCAAAGCCAGTACTTCTCTTACATCCTTGTTGTAAGCCATATTGGCTATTTGCTTCATCTGTCTTCTCCCCAGATATCTCAGATCTGTTCTATCTCTTTCAAAGAGAACATGGGACCTGGAGAATCGATCAGCATGAAAATAACCCAAAGGGACTTGATCCTTTCTTTAATGACTGTTCTGTCTCCTCTATTGCATTTATATTGGAAGAATCAGGGTGCACTTGCCTGGCAAGGCCCTGGACTCACTGTCTGCAGAGCTCAAGTCTTGATGTAGAACATACACACACAGACTTCACTGGGATCCATTATGTAAGAAGGAAATTTAGTTCATATCTTAAGCCTCAGGGATGTAATTTTGGAGGCTTAGGTCTCTTCCTATAGTTGCAGGGGCCCATGAAATATTAAAAACCCTGATAGCACTGGCTCTTTGGGCATTTGTTTATCCAAACCTGAGAGTGTCTGACACTGGAAAAAATTTAACAATTTTCTTAAAACTAACTTCTTGCTTATTTGTTTTCTTGCTTTCCTTTTCTTTCTTTGTTTCCTTCTTTCATCAGATAGAAAACCAAGTGCTGTAGATTGCCAAGATGCAAATCCCAAGGCAGAATCTGAAATCTCCAAGCCTTGTTACTGGAAGGCTTTTCCCTGGACCTTCTATCCATGGCTGCTAAATTGTTTCCTTTCTCCCCAAGGCATAAAATTGTGCATTACTTTCTGTCCTTGGAAAACTGATTCCTAAAGGACTGATGAGCAGCCCAGCTTTGAAGCTGAGCAAAGGAATATTTTTTTTTAATATAGTCAGGCATATGTCACAGTCTTCTGACTGGCAGGGGAAGGGGTGGAGTAGGAAGCCATAAAGGCTAACTGCAAGAGTCTTGTTCACAGCCCTACAGTTCAGAGTTTGTTGTTGATAATTCTCAAGCAACCAAGATTTTTAAAAAACCTGAAAATTTTGTTTCCTTTCTTTGGTTTTGTGTTTCTGCTCAAGGTAGGATTGAGTATCTTATTGTTGTAGTAAAGAAGAGACCAAGCACAGGCCAGGCATGCCATGAATAGCAGACTAAGGGAGAAGGCTAAATTGTTTCTGATCTGTCTAGCTATACCAATTCCTGATCTTATGCTCTTGGGATGGCAAGAGAGTCCCAAGTAGTGGGAAAATCTCCTAGTCTCCTCCTCTGGGAAAAGAGACTTTGAACCAAGATCAGAACAGGGGAGTAAGTTTACAAAAATCAGAGCATGAGAGAAAATATATTCAGGTAACAGAACAGAGTAAAAATAGGCAGGAGGCTCAGAGAGTTGGGGCCTTCATGGCAGGAAACAGAGGCTCTGCTAACACGACTCCGCAGCATTCTTTGCCTTCCTTGTGCAAATGGCATTTCCCTTCCTACGCTGAATTTAGAAATGAGACTACTGGAGAAGATCACATTAAGATGCAGTGAACTGGCTTCAGTCAAATCACCCAGGGCCCAGGGTCATCACTAATGTGTGTACACCTTAGCATCAGTCACTAGATGTGACCTGGACAGGCAAAGGCTGCTGTGACAGTCATCCACAGGCTTCCCGTGCCAACCTGAATGGTAAAATACTCACAGACTGAGGAAGAAAGGGAAGATCAACTCACCAGCAGGTTCACAGGGTAGAGCTGGAAGAGAGAAACAGAGCTCAGGGCAGAGCAGTGTGTCCCACAGCCACACAGTTTAACTCTTCCCCAGAAGGCTTTCCCAAAAATAAGCTGCCCTTCCTCTGTACCTTCCCCGTTACTCCCCCTACTTTCCTCCTCTGCTTTCCCCTCCTTTCCTTCTTCCTATGTTCTTCCTTCCCACGTTATCTTCATCCTCTTCCTTCCTTCATCTCTTCTTTCTCTTTTCTTTTCCCACATTTCACCTCATCCACAGAGCATCTATCCCCCCCAAAAAAAATGGTTATTTTCATGATCATAAAGGAACTTCCAATAATTTTAGTCATCTGTGGCAAGGAAATGGTGCCTTCATCCTTGGTGGCTCAGCAGCTTCCTTGTCAAGATGCTTGTTTCCATCCATGCTTGCTCTTTTCTAAGGTTTTAATGATCCAACTCTCAACTTACAATCTCATTCAAGTAATAGAGTCAGGCAAAAAAGTGGGCAAGGGTCTCATGTCCAAGGCATGAGCTCCACAGTTTACCAGCTTTAAGTCAGAGGAAGTTTAGGTCCAAAGAAGGAGTGCACTTCTCTCCAAAGATTCTCTCCAAGTCCAAGTAGTGAACTATAAGATGGAATAGTGGTCCAAAAGGGAAAATTTTGAAGAAAAGGCAGCTTTTCAAGAGAGTGACAGAAAGCTGGATCTTTGCTCTTCCTCTTGCAAGCTGTGTGACCCTCAAAAAATACATTCCCTCTTTGTTTTAATCTCCTTTTCTGTAAAATGGAGACTGTTAGCTATGAACCCATGCAATTGACTAGACAAGGCATTCTGATGTGAGTAGATTTATTGGGTGCAACAAGCAGGCTGGCTGTCTAGCAGACCAAGACAGCAGCGAATAAAAGAGGGACAGGAGATTTTATAGGATCTTTTAGGGAGGGTGATCATGGGCCGGAACAGCTGAGGGAAAGCTAATCTTGGCAGAGCTACCCGGTCTGTGAGGGACCTTTAATGTTAACAAAGGAAAGTTTCTGTGGTTGCTTGCCCAGGTCAAAGTCAAGTGGACCTGTTCTGTGGTTTTGGGTTTGACTCTGCATCTGGCCAAGAGGGAGAGAATTTGGGGGCAGAAGGCCTGGGAAACCAAAAGCAAGAGTGTTTGAGGTAAGGGTGCTGGGAAACTTTGAATCCTGACTCTCAAAGACAATGTTATTAGAGACCTACTCAGAGATTCTGTGAGGATTAAACTGATTATATCCATAAAGTGCTCAGAATTATACCTGAGATTTGCTTAGCATCCAAACGATATTGTATAGTTATTATTATTATATTGTATGGTTATTATTATGTGCACTCTGAGATTCCTACTTTTTAAATTAAATGTCATCAAGTAATTGTTTTTTCAAATAGGAGGTGAGAATTAAAGGACCAGACATAGAAGTGATGTTTTGCTTTTCCACCCACACATAGACAGTTATGAGTACCTACCGTGCACCAGGCTTTGTGCAGAGCACAGCGCTACACAAGCAAATAGGGGCATCAGGCCTTGGTGTCAAGGAATTTACACTATAATGGCAGAAAGTCAACTTAAAAATTAAGCACAACCTATAATCTGAGAGAGTGAGTGGGGCTATACAAAACATAAAGCACAAAACATTTTTTCAGAACTAGGGATCACACCCACAGGTGTTCTATCACTAAGCTACATCCTTGACACTTTATTTATTTATCTTATTCTGACATAGGATCCCACTAAGTTTCTGTGGAGGGTCTCAAACTTGTGGTCTTCCCTTCTCAGCCTCCCTCAGTGCTGGGGTTGTAGATATGTGCCACGGAACCCAGCTAAAGTAGAAAATTAAGCTATAGGGTCTTAGATAGTTTTGACTATTTAGATAAATTCCAGTTAAGTAGAAATTGGAATTACTACCTGGATTAAATCAGACAGAAAGTTATTTGAATACTCAAGAAAGAGTATCTCTTAGGGCAGTAATAAGCTTCTCTCCTGGAGGGTTGGCAACCTAAGTGTGCAGAACAAAAATTAGAGGAAAAAAAGGGCTGGAAGGACAGCCAACATTTTGACCCTAGCCTTTGAAGGTCAATGAAGACTCAGGACACACGAGAACCTATATTGGTTTTTTTTGTTTATTTTTTTAATTTATTTTTTTTAAATTGGTAGGACAGTTTCAATAATTAACACACTGAATACATTCTTCTTAGTGGTTAATTGCTGTACAAGATGTGGACCTGACATCCTATTTACAAACACCATTAGAACAAATTATTCTACTCATTAAGAGAATGTAACTATATATCTATCCCAACCACTCTGAATACACAGATACAAAATGGACATTCATCTGTATACCCTTTTTTTTATAAGTTCTGTTATTTAAATATTATAGGTGTGTAAACTCAACAAAACATTCCAAAAGAGTCCAGCAGCCCACAATAGTATTGGGTCTTCTGCTTGACTGGCAATGTCACAAATTGATGACCTGAGTCCCCCAAAGCTCAATATAACAGCATGGCTTTACTTCTTATATTTCGTTTTTATACTTTTCTTCTGGATGGTTAAGACCAAGGTAAAGCAGGACCTACACAACAAGAGTTGTAACTTTTGGGTCTGATAAGGTCAGTGAAATCCCCTCAGGATTTATCCTGAGATCCTGTACCTCAGATTGCAGAACCTTTGTCAGTGTCAGCCATGTGGATGAGTCACAGCCATTGCTTGGCCAATGTGCTCTCTGTGAAAGCCT